TGGTTTTTGTCAAACTAAATCTATTAAATGATATTGATAATAAATAGTATAATTAATGTTAGCTAAATAATATTAAATATAACTACTAGTTGTCTACCCGCACAATGTGGTGGGAGTCGTGAATTTTAACGATTTTGAAGTTTTACTGGTTTTATTAGAGAAAATTTAATGATGATATAAGTTACACTTGGTCTTTACATATTAATACAATTTGAATAAATAAGAGTTATGGTTCCAATTACAGTCTATCGATGAAAAAAATGTATGACAATTTAAAATCCAATATATTTAAATCTAACATATTTAAAAGACTCCAAAAATGTGTTCGATTTACACCAAAAACAAAGAATCAAGAGACCGAGACCGAGAATTCTAGAGCAACTGAATGAGAAATGAATGAGAGAACTTTTAATAACTCATGGTGAATATCAGTTTAAATCTCACATTTGGGGATGAGGAAAAGACATAGAGGTATGAGAAGGTGAATACATGAGTGAAATGTGTCAAAATTATTTTAGGAACATAAAAAGAAAAAAGTAATAATGTGCATTGGTAACTTGTACTCTATGTTATTTTAATTGTAGAATAATAGATTTTAAGACTGAATGCATAAAATAGTAATATTTAATGTATTATGAGTTGTTTTTAAGACTTTGTACATAAATATATAGTACTTTGTGTATTAAAAAAATATTTTTATTACTTTTGATAAATCTAGTTTATAAAGTAGCATAAATATAATTATATATTTAGATTTCAAGTTTCAGTTGTTATTTTAGGATGAATTTAATTAAACCAATCTTTTTTCTCCTATATTTTTTTTTATTTAATAAAAGTATTTATAATTTAAATGTTTAAAATTAATTAAAAAGGTTTTAGAAGAATAATAGTTGGTCCTTTCCCCCTGAGGGCACATGGTGCGTCTGTCACTGGACATTACATTATTTCACTGGAACTTCCACCACCCAATCGGAGTCTCACTTCTTAACCCTCTTTGTTTTTACCTTGTTTTTTTTTTAAATCAATAATTGTTTATATATATATAAAATTTGTTTTAAATATAACAAGTTGCATCTGTACAACCAATACAACTCAATAAATTGAGATATTTATAGAAATGATGAGAGTTTATTTATTATGATTTGAATATTTATGTAAGATGAATATAGTTCATTAATTATTATCAATACTTTATATTATGAAACAATCAAAACTTCTATTAAATCACATATTAATCAAATGAAATAAATGGTTGAGATTGTGTTGTATTGGTCGCACAAATGTCAATGGTTGTATAATAACCAACTTTTCTCTCTCTTTCTTTCTTTCTCTCTCTCTCTCTCTCTCTCTCTCTCTCTCTCTCTCTTTATATATATATATATATATATAATAGTTGGGTTTTAAGAAGAACGATAACCAAATAAAAGAATATGAAAATAACCAAATCACATGTGACCACTTTGGCTACGACCTAGGTCGTGGACCAAGTTATCCACACACCATTACGTTGATCATGTTATGTAATCACATGTGATTTCAGTACAAAATCATACGTGATTGTCATTCTTGTAATTCTCTTATTTTACTTATGTTTTCGTTTGATCATCCTTACACCCCATATATATATATATATATATATATATGGATGTCAAATTTAAAAAAAATAATCATTTTTAGAGTAATTTGTTCGCTCTAATTTTAATCATACGTCGTCGATTTTCGATTAAAAAAATAAGGGGGTATTTTTTAGTCTAAGAAAATGTGAAACTGTTATTTGAATTAGATTCATTTTATCAGCTCAATCTAATAGTTTATATAAGCTTTTCGGTGTTTTGTGTTATCTAGTTCTTTTCTCTTTACGTGTGTGTATATATATGTGTGTGTGTATATATATATATATAGTGTTAAATTCTCAAGAAACTGGCTATGAAAATAAAGAAAATGCAAAAATATAAGAAGTACAAAATCAAACTTTCACAATGTTTTTGATCTGAAAGTTTTGTATTTTCTTATACATTTAAAATATTTTGTTATAAAAGTTGAGTGTTATTTTATAAATCTTACAAGAGCAAACTGATTTGATATGATTTGAAGTATATGTAGTTATATAAGGTGAGCATAAAACAGACACCTCGTGTGGTGTGTGTTTCTGTCATTTTGGCTCCCTTCAAGCTATCATTTACTATTCTCATTAATGCATTTTGTATTGTATTGTATTCCCTTCCCAAAATCAATTCCCTTCCCACCACATTTACCCTACCTTCCATTAATGATTTTTATAACCATTTATTATATATATATATATATATATATATGAAATTTTGTTTATAAGATTATATAAATAATGTAAATTGTATTTTCTAATTAACATAACAAATGTTTCAGTTCTTTTTGTTAGATGGATATTAACTGATGGTTTACAATTGAATAAATTCCATATGACATTTTGTCACGTAATTAAAAATTAAAATATAAAGATTGACATATCAATATAAAACATTATTGATATTTATAAGTTGACATATCAATATAAAACGTTACTGATATTTATAAGATTTCTCGGATAGAGATAAAAAAATATATGAAGAAATAGAAAAAAATGTATAATTATTATAGTAATTAAGAAAAACAATTTATTTTAACACTAAGTAAAAATTAAAACATATTTCATTATGTTTAATTTTTTATATAAATAAAAGATTAAATTAAAATTTTATATAAATAAAAAATAAAATTAAGAATTAATTTGTAGTGTGAAAAAACAAGAAGTATGTGTTGACAATTAAAGCAGGAGGCTCCGTGGAATCGCCGCTGCTGCTTTCTAGTTTCTGTGTTCATTGCCACCAACTTGTTTCGCGAGTTTCGAAGAACAACAAGCAACAAAAGCCTTCATATAATATCAATTAAACTCAACCTCACCCTTTACTTTCAATTCAAATCCATCATCTCTTTTCTTCTTACGAGGTTCCACTGCACGCCACTCTCTCTCTCCTTCTGCAATTTGCTTTCAAACCCTCTTATTTATACCCAAAAAGGCAAATTTTCAATAACGAACTTGACCTATAATGTCAACAAGAAGTAGGAGGTTGAAATGGCACCCAACCCCACCACCACCTAGCCCCAAAATCATTAATTTACCTACGAGACATGGTACTCGCCGGAAAAAAACCAGACCCACCGTCGCTAAGCAACCCACCGCCACTTCAGGGACGATACAGACGTATAACTACAAGGGAAAGCTCGAGAGCTTGTTTGGTGTGGAGAGAGAGTTCACACGTGCTCCGGTTGTGCTGTTGAATTCTGGCGAGAGAAGAGAGAGGGTGGGATCGGAGGAGGAGGTGGATGGTGGCGGTGGTGAGTTGGCGGAGGAGAAGTGGAGGTTTCAGGCGGAGATATTGCGGGCAGAGTGTAATTTCTTGAGAATGGAAAGGAAGTTTGCGTTGAAGAAGTTGGAGAAGAATAGAGTTCGAATCGAAAGAACTCTCAAATCTGCTTTAGAAAATCTTGCTTCAGTAAGCGTTTTCCCCCAATTTTTATCAACATTTTTGGATCGAATTAATCTTGATTTCTTCCATTTTTCTAATTGGGTGCATGTGATCTTCATTTCTTTGGGTACCCAGAACGTACAACCACCTAATGCACCCTGTGATGATCTTATACCCAATTTCAGATTTTAATTTCTATGGAAACCCAGAATGTACAATCAACAAATGCACTGAATTTGACCCATTTGGGTGGCTAAATTTTAGATTTTGTTGACCAACTGTTTTACAGGGAAGAAAGAAGCTTTGTGAAGGGAAGAATATGGAATTGGTGTTGGCGGAAGAAATGAAAGAATTAGCAGAGAAACTAGAGGATTTGCAGAGTAGCTATAATGGAAGTGAAGATCGCGAGCTTCGAAAATGCAAGAATTTTGATAAAAAAGCGTCACGATTACAGCGAAGATTGGAGAAACTTGGAGGGTTAACAGATGATGAATGCAAAAAGGAGATCAAGAATGAAGCAAGAATCAATGAAGATATCTCCATTTTGGATTACAGAAATCAAACCAAGTCCACTGATGTAAGCTTCATTAAAACACCTTTCATCGACTTCATAAATCGGTGTCTTTTTCTTCTATGGTGATGAATTTTTAAATTATTTGCAGGTGGAGATGCTGGAAAGGAAAATGGAGGGGTTATCGAAGGGAATGATCGATCGGATGGAGAAGGAGTATGGGTCGATTCTAAACGCTTCGGTTGCTAGTTCTGCTTCTACTTCAAAGCGAATCGATGTCTCAGATCAATTTACTTTCTCTAACAGATATTCTAATCAAACAAAGGTACCTTGTGAATCATATACTCAATGGGGTTCGAGATCTGTAAGCATTTTCATATAAAGTTTACGCATTGATGAACATTCATTATGCACAAGAAAAATAATCACATGGGTGATCCAAAGTTATAAGCTATAACAAATCTGTTTGTTTCTTCCAATGAGGTTGTTTTAGCTCATTTTACACTCTCATCTTGCTTATTAACCAACAGCTAGCTTATCAGCTAGTTTGTTGAACATAGCTTTCGTTTTCTTGATTTGTAGGAAGATATATGAATCAAGAAACTACTTTTTGTAACAGGAACCATTAACATCGCACGATAACAGCAACAAATGTTCGGGTCGGTGCAAGGTGTTGGTGAGGAGAATAGTTGAGCAAGTGAGAGCAGAGACAGAGCAATGGTCTCAAATGCAAGAGATGCTTGGACAATTGAGACAAGAGATGGAAGAACTTCAAACTTCAAAAGACTTTTGGGAAACTCAAGCTCTTGCTTCCGCTAATGAAATCCGATCCCTCGAATGCTCTGTAAGTCCCGTGTTTATGTACATGTATGTGTTTTTTGTTGGTAATCATGGGTGTCTGGGCCAACTTGCATGCAACTCAACTAGTCCTATGGGCCCTTGAGATAACATAAGGGATAATCTCCATTTTGGTTTCGTAACTTATATTGGTTTTTGCTGGTTTAAGGTTGAAGAATGGAGAGGGAAGGCTATCGAATATGAAACGAAGGCCAACAAGCTCCAAACCGAGGGGGATCTGTTAAAGGATGAGCTTGAGAAGTTGAAGGAAGATCAAGCAAAGGAAGTCGCTTTGACGCCCAAAAAGACGATGCTTTCTTTAAGTAAACAAATTGAAAGGGAGACAAAGAGCGGGTTAAGCTGTCGAATGAAGGGAAATTGCGAGAAAGTTGAAGAAGGTAAAAAAGATTCGCAACCGTTGTCTTTGGCGAAACAACTAGCAAGGGAGAAGCGGATACTGATATCTCGATTGAAGGAAAACCGGGGGAGCAATAACGAAGGATTGAGAAAAGGGTATAATCTGGTGAGATCTCCGTTTAAAGATATCGGGAATTCTTCGTCATCATCGGCAAGTCTGGTGAGGCAGAATAGCAATGCAATTTTCCCATTGCATTACCTTGAGCCAGCAAGAATGGAGGATAGCTTTTGGAAATGAAAAATGGTTTTGTTTTCTATTTTAGGCTAATAATGGAGTTTGTAAACCAGCTAAAGTTAAGTAGTTGTAAACCTGCAACTCATGAAACTTTATCCCCTTCTAATTGAATGCATCCATTAATGGTGGATCTTTGTAGCATCCTCTCTCTCCACTGTCCATTGGTTTGGTCTCATTGTAATATTTGTATATAATACTGTTCTTGTGAGACCTGGAAGACTACTTAAATAACATTAACCTCATATCAAAAACATTATACCAGTAAACCTTTACAGCGTTCTTGCTGTAAAGATTCACTATCTTTCATACCTTCACAATGAATTGATGTGAAGTTTCAGTGTTATTTTATGGTCTCACAAACCCAACCCTATATATTATATATATCAACATCAATCTCTATGCAATTTGACAAGACAGACGAGAGGGAGATGGATGGATGATTTTTTTTGCTAGGTTTTAATTTGACATGAGTAATTTAATGATTTATCATGTAAAGCACTGAATAGCAATGGATATATGATAGCCCTATTGGCATTCGAGATGCGAGATAATACAGCAGCAACAACAGGTGCGTCCAATAAGGAAAAAAAATCGGTTTTTAGTAGTAGTTGATGAGACCACGAATTGGCGGGTGGTGGCAAGTGGCAGCAAGGGCATCTACTCAAAGGGGGTTGAAACTATAGTTAGTTGCTCTGGGTGGTTCTGGCAGCAACAACGATGGCACTTGTTCCGACAGCAGCACGAACAACTAAGTTTCTGCCGTGAAGGCAGTTGGCGATCCGACGATGAGGGTTGGGGTTCTAGGGAGATTTCACAAAGGCTTTGATACCATAGGAAAACTCCTATTTCTACAACAACGGCATTGGATATTTAAAACCATTTAAAAGCCAGGAATTTGGATGATTATTGTCATAGAAATGAAGATGAAAGAACATAAGATTTTGAGAATGAATACTCCCATCATATCCAAAATACCTATTACAACTAATCAAGGAATTAAGGGATTAACAAATCAACAAGAAAACTACAACTGACCAACCATTAGTAAAAAATTCATTTTTTTCTATGTTGGTGCTTTGGTCTGCTTGCTATTCAGATGACCAAGTTCAGTTAGACCTTAACTGTAAGCATGAGATGGTGATGGTGCCTGTAGCGGTTGTGATAGCGATTATTAGTAGAATCAGAAATCGCCTACACATTGTTATCACCATGACGATCAACATGAGTTGTGATTATTAGACTGTATCGGTAACAACTTGATTATTGTTCGCTGGTTGTCGACGACCTCTGTTCCCTTTTTCGTAAATCTTACACACAACACAATCATCAAGCTGCACAAAATAACCAAATTAAGTTACACCAACGAATAATTGATGAATTCAAAAAGAGCCTTAAGAAGGGTTTCAACACCTTCATGTCACTTTCATCGAGTCGTCGTCTTTGATGACCAGCAACTACGTATTCTTTCATGACCCATTTGGTTTTAATCCCATTTGGTGCATGCCCTTCGTGATAAACCAGTGACTTCTTGTCACCAATCTTAATACCATCAGCATCAGTGATTCCTTTATCGCGTCCTGTGGCTTTCCAATAACCATCTCCGGCTTTTCGATCAGGTCTGCTATCATCTGTGTATTTTCGATTCCTTGGGGAGAAAAAGAGCCATTGTCCTTCCCTTGCTTGTGGATGATTCGCTGTAGATACAAGTATAGTTTCTCATTCATTCGACAATCAATACCACCATGGATATATACAAACAAGAATTGAAGATATATACTACTTACCTACAATCTTCTCGGGATGATCTTCGTATATATCCACATTCCCAATCTTGTTCTTGGGAAGTTCTTGATTCCTGATCTTCCTCAACAGATAATGAGTAACCAGTTCTTGGTCTGTTGGTACGAACCGGAACCCTATTGGAAAAGATTCAAGATAAGCCAAAGTATCTTCCATACAGCCGGTAATCTCAGTCTTAACCACTGGTGTGGCTGCAGCCGGCCTTGCTGTCTCAACCATCGTCCCCGGCTCATGACAGCAAGAACAAGAACCCAAACCACCATTGTTTGCAGGCGAAGAAAGTTGCAAATTTCTTGTATGTTTCAGCGGTACTTGAAGATGATTAACATGATCTTGATCGGAGGATGCATGAGAGACATTGAGTTTTCTTTGGTTAGGGTTGGCATTGGCGTTTGCAGAATCCATGGCGGAGTGATGAATGATGATGGCGGCAAAGTGAGTATCGGAGAAGAAGGTGATGGCGGTAAACTCTGGTGAACGTTGAAATCGAAAGAGACGGAGTTTGAGTCTTGAATTTAATGGGAGATGGGTTCTGATTTTATATCTCGGTTAAATTTATAAAAAATAGGGTTATATTTATCTCTTGGTTATTATAATTTTTTAAATGGTGAGATAATGATGTAAGTTTAATTTAACTTAATAAATTACATTAAAAGATATCCGATTTAAACCAAACACGAGTTGGAATAGAATCTCATTCCAAATCCCGATAACCATAAAATTGAAATCCTACTAACATGGGATTTGGAAGTTCAGATCTTAAGTATAACCATGAGATGGTGATGGTGCCTGTAGCGGTTGTTTGACTAATGTAACTAGGACCAGCCGATCGGTGGTTGGATTCGTTTGCTTGCCGTCATGAACCGGTGACAATGGCTGAAACCACCAAGAAAAGATGGAGCATGATCTTGATTATCTTGAATCAGTATTTTCCAATTGGGTATCGGTTCGTTCCCATAGATCTAGACCAAGAAATTATCTGTTGAAGAAGATCAAGATTTGGAATGTGGATGTATATGAAGATCATCCAGAGAAGATCGTAGGTAAGCATCTTAATGCTTGTTATTGCCATTAATATATCTAATCACTTGTGTTAATCAAGTCGATCGACTTGTTCAAACCAGTAAATCACAAGATGGATTGTTTGCTTCAACGGAAGAGGCGACAAATGGTTCGTAGATATAACCAGAAGATGGATTATGGAAACCGGATATGTTACTGAACGTTTTTGATTCATCACCTTTGTCATATTTTAAAGGTGCCCATGTTTTTTTGTTCTTTAAAATGAGTGTCGAGTTGTTACAGATTTTTGCTTTAAAGAACATTTGCAACCAACCGATGTATGTTTCATGAACCAATAGATCATGTACTAAACGCTATGTTTATATTTATTTAAAACCAATAGATGATGAAACAAGCAGTGGCGCATCCATAAATTGGAGGTACTTAGGGTATCGAAATATTTTCAAAACCGAATAATTCATCCTAACCAAAACAATTTTGGGTTTTTGTTTTCGGATTAAACGGTTCGGTTAACCAAATAAAGACAACTTATTCCGTTCAGTTTTCAATTAATATTTTTTTACTATTTGGTTAAACCGGCACATTATACTACTATTTATAATGGATCAAAACCAGTTTTTCTAAATAAGAAATTAAAAGCAAGAAATATTTTACTGTTTCTTCACCTAAAAGCCAAGAACTAAGATGGAGAAGGAGAACTAAAACACCGAAACACAATCGATTTCAGTTTTTCTGTCGTCGACCAGTGGTCGGCATTGATGGTCCGTAGTCAATCAAGAGCGTGACATGTGAGTAGAGATAGCCAAAAATCGGACCACGACCGGCCCCAAATCGGTCCCGCTTCCCATAACCGGTCCAATAAAAGTTATATTTTTTTAACGTTGGGCGTTATTTCAAAAGTTCCTTCTTCTGAGGTTCCTTCATCAATCCTTCTTCTTGAGGGCTTGTTGTCAAAATCATCTTCATCTTCAACATCTATCAACAATGGAGTTGATGCGGTATTCTTGAAATAAGGAAACGAATTCTTCAGCATTGTTCTTTCACTCTCCTTCTGCGTGTTGATTGATTCAAACAATAAAGTTAGCATTTGATGAATTTTTCCCAAACTTTTTTTTACCTCAATTTCTTGCATTAATGAAATCTTCTTGAGGGTCGTCTGCCATATTCTCATCAGTCGTGTTCTCCAAATTGCCAGTGATCGAAGATCAACTCTAATGATATCACCGAGATGCATCCACCATCTATATATGTAGGCAAATTATCATGTACGTATCGTCTTCTATATATTGTTGTAATAATGCCACTAAATGTAGTTATATACAAGTTTCATACTCACCATAATTAACTACAAGCTAAGCTAAGCTAAGCATCGCAAAACAAACAACGAAAGACCTGCAACTACAACTACAGTACTCTGTTTTCATGCTTTGGCACTTTTGGCTGTTTCGATTCGCTGCTATTCAAATGATCAAGTTCAAGAAACCCCAAGTTGTAATCGTAGCTGTTAAGATCATCTTGCGAAAAACCCAGTTCCGAGAATTCAGTATACTCAGAGCCATCACCACCATTGGCTGTTTGATATGGTGGTGCTGCCACCTGTGGAGGTTGTTGATTAATGTAACTAGGACCTGGCCGATTAAAGTTCGATGTATCACTGTAGCAGCTCTCACGTGGCACCATCATATAGTTTAGTTCAGAACAAAACGGATGATATGGCGGTGGTGGAAGCGGTGGTGCGACTGGCTTAGGCGGGGGTGGTGGAACCGGTGGTCCGACTGGCTTAGCAAATCTCATGTCACAGCTAAGATGGTTTCGTTGTAACGTCTCCATACTTGAATGATAATAATTCCAAGAATTCTGTATCCCCATACTTGGATGACGAAAATAACTTACAGAATTCTGTATCCCCACACTTGGATGACGACAATAACTAAAAGAATTCTGTACCAGCACATTGCTAGCAACAGCTTGTTGTGACCTTGGTTCTTGATCAGGATTTGGAACTCTGAGTTCTTCCACTTCTTCGAATCGAAGAATAGTAGGATCTGCATTATGATTTTGATTATTAGTAGAATCAGAAATCGCCTGCACATTGTTATCACCATGATGATCAACATGAATTGTGGGATTGTTAGACTGTTGATGATCAGTAACAACTTGATTATTGTTCGGTTGTCTACGACCTCTGTTCTCTTTTTCATAAATCTTACACAAAACACAATCATCAAGCTGCACAAGATAACCAAATTAAGTTACACCAACGAATAATGAATTCAAAAAGAGCCTTAAAAAGGGTAAGTGTTTCAA